ATCAAAATGCAGTATTTTTATTGTATAATGCTGCTCTTTTCCCCAAGTTTAGCTAACAGCTCGGCTCATATCCATATGTGGTATTCATTAATTTTGGTTTTCTCGATGCGTTCAGGTTGTGTCTGGAGGAGTTGCAAGTAACTTCTATATCCGAAAAGCTCTGGAAATTGTAGCAAATGCAACACAGTGCACTTTGTTATGTCCTCCCCCCAGACTGTGCACTGACAACGGCGTTATGATTGCATGGTATGTGTGCTTCGCTCATAATTATGTAAATATTAATTGCCATTTCATTATGCTAAATTTTCTTCCTTTAAATCTTGGGCTAATTACTTTATTTTAATGATTCTTATTTAGGAATGGTATTGAAAGACTGCGTGCTGGCTTGGGCATTTTATACGACACAGAAGGCATCCGCTATGAACCAAAGTATGTAGTACTATTCATATCTTTATGCAGGTTGCATTATAAAAGTCAAAGTCTCGATTTTGCATTTATATATGAGGTTTTCATTGACATTCTGGTTACATTAATTTCTTTCATGAACCTAGGAAGTAGATACCTTATAAGAAATATTTTTGCTACAATTTCAAATTATAAAAAATTTAACAAATCATAGGTTAGAAACAGGTGGTAGGCAAGGGTGATGAATTCCTTCGTTTAGAAACAGAATGGAAACCATGCCCATGGCCTGACTTTTGCAATGTCAAGACCATCTCAGAAAGAGCTAGTATGCTAGGAAACTTAAGGAAAATGTGCAAAAAGCATTCAGGTGGAGACTGGGCTGTGAATATGCTCTTCTACATGCAGCTGAGAAATGGCCAAATGATGGCTGTTTTCTGCACGCCTTATTTTATCTCCCAAATCAAAGTTCCAAAGAATAGCACAGTTTTTCTCTTTGTTATGAAGTTCTGGTCTAAGTTAATTCTGGAATAGCAAAAATAGTAAAGGATATTATGTTTCATAGTCTAACATAATTCTCTTTCCACTTCATTTTATCTGGTGATTTAAAACTTTTCTGCATTGTAGTCCTTACTGCAGCTTACATGAACCAAAGACTCTTATGGCTGATTATAAATGAACAGAGTTTAATTAGTAGTGGTCGATGGCCCAGCCTTTGGTAGAATATATCATCTGATCCAGTAGTGCCTTCTTTTGACAGCGTGGAGGCAGGAAACGATGGCTTTTTCCAGGTTGGGCAACATAGTGAGAAAGCAGAAATCAGAAGCCAAAATTATTAACTAAGGAAGAACAAAGAAAGAGGGTAGGATCTAAGACCTCTCCTGCCAGTAGCGACAAAGGAAGATAGAAAAGGAACAAGCTAGATTTTGAAACCTCAGAGAAGAATCAATAGAAACCTGGGAAATCTCTAGAGTAGGAATGGGTGCAGGTTTCACGGTAGCCATATGGTAAACTGTTTTCACCTTCTTAGCTTTGTAGAGAATTATAAGACTTTTTTTTGTTATTTTTCTACTTCATTTTAAGTTTGTATTTATTTACAGTATTTGAGAGATGTAGAATTGTTTCTTTCAAAACATCTCAATCCCCAAAGTCATCGAGTTACATATATTAAATATGTATAGCTTTTTACATGTCAAATACACCTCAAAATGGTTTTAAAAAGTCTCCAAATTTACATTTCTTATTAATAGAACTGGCCTTTCTTCATCCTTTAGTCTGATTTGAGGTCCTCTTGTATTTGTATGTATTCAAGAACTATCACCATATATAAATTAGATATGTATGTAGTTAGAAATCTAAGCATACAGTCTGCAGAACTAGTGACAGATCTGGAAGCACATATTTGAAATAATGTGATTTGTTTAATTATGATGCAGATGTCCTCTAGGAGTGGATATATCAAAAGAAGTTGGAGAAGCTGCCATAAAAGTACCACGATTAAAAATGAAGATTTGATTTTTGCTTTTCAAAAACCCCTAACGGTAGTATTTCAATACTCAGTTTTGATTTTTTGTATATCAGCTGTAGGAGATACATAATATTGTTCATCTAGACTGTCCTTTGTTATTCCTTTTCTTATGTTTGATATTTAACCTGATCTTCTGAGAGACTGTAATAATATATTATTGTATTATAAGAGAATAGAAATTTTTTAATCAAAAACCAAAGTAAAACATCTTGAGGGGGATCTACTGATACTGGCAGGTAGAAAAACAAACCTTCAGGAAGGAATAAAGTGAATCAGCTAAATTCTGGCTCCATGTTATACAGGCCTAGAAACTAGGAGGTAAGGATAAAAATCAATGAGGAAAAGATTTCTTATTTTAATCCTGCCTTAAAGTGACTTCACTTTGGAGAAATTCCATAAGTAATTCTTTTCTTTAGAATTGTGATCATGGAGTATTGCTTATTGATCATCCATTTTATCCTGGAAATAGAAAATATAACTTATATGAAGGAACATGTAGAAACAGCCAGTATTTATAAAGCTTTGCATTGTTTCATGTTGAGGTATAGGTATGATGGAATCGCTTTACAGATATTCAAAAGAAACAGTTTGTGAATTTACATTTTACATTTAGATTTGTATTCTGTATTAATGTGGATCTGAATTCAAAGAGAAGAAGTATGATCATTTCCTGTGGCTATTACAGTCGGAGTGCATATAAACTATGGAAGAAAGCTGACCAAAATTTCTTCCCACCATCACAAATATTATAAAATAGGGATATCTATAATCTAAGTAGTTAAAATTTCAAAGTATAAATATTGTTCCAGGTGCTACAAGCACACATGTCGAAATTGGGTTCATGACATAAGTAAGGGAAACTATAGATGAAGAAAATGAGGAAATTCTGGAAGCACTGCATATCTTTAGGCCTTTCAGTACTTAGCCGTAAGGAAGAAAGGAAGGGGAAGAAGACAGAGAGAGAGATGGGAAGGAGAAGAAAGAGAAGCACCGAGCTCTGTATTGGCAAGCATACATGCCAAAGTTAGCTTATAATCAGGTAAGAGGCGAGCAATTTGCTGCAACGTCTGTATCTTGAGGCCTTTCTCATCTTAGACATATTTTTAAAAAATAAAAATAATTTTTACAGCTGGGAGGGGGCTGTAATTTAGGAGAAATACTTTAATATTAGGAGTAGGAGTAGGATGGTCTGGCTAGACCAAGGTACTCAGGTAATGTCTATGTTATTGAATGCAATGAAACCCTAATCCTCATACCTGAAAATACTCTTTTTTCTTATTTTAATTTTTGTTTAAAATATCACAGATGTCCCTTTTCTCCCCAATGACCCATTCCACCCCGTCCCATCCCCCTCCCCAGTCCCTCTCCCCATCATTGTCTGTGTCCTTGGGTTGTGCATATATGCATAAAAATCTTTGGTTACTCTCTCTCTCTCCATCCACCCACCCTCCTCCATCCCTCTGACATTCGTCAGTCTCATCTATGCTTCCATGTCATTGAATCTATTCTGTTCATCAGTTTATTAAGTTCTTTAGATTCCACAAATAAGCAAGATCATGTGATGTTTGTCTTTCTCTGCCTGGCTTATTTCACTTAGCATAATTTTCTCCAGGTCCATCCGTACTGTCCCAAAGGGTACGAGATTCTTCTTCTTTACAGCTGCGTAGTATTCCATGGTGTAAATGTCCCACAGCTTTTTTATCCACTCATCTACTGATGGGCACTTGGGCTGTTTCCAGATCTTAGCTATTGTAAACTGTGCTGCTGTGAACATAGGGGTATTCTTTCTGATGAGTGCTTCAGGATTCTTAGGATATATTCCTAGAAGTGGGATCACTGGGTCAAAAGGCAGCTCCATTTTTAATTTTTTGAGGAACCTCCATACTGTTTTCTGAAAATACTCTTAAAATATAGTCTGTAGCCCACCTGAAGCTAGTTGCAAAGCTAAAGTTTGTTATCTAAAGGCTTTTTTTTTAAGTCTACAGAGGCTTAATATTTCCACTGATATGCATTCTATCCTTAATGGTAGTGAATACATGACATAGTTTCTTATCATTTGAATTATTTATCCCTTTTAGTGTAAAATATCCCATTCCCCTCCCACCACGATTCCTATATTTTAGTCCATCCACCAGAAAGTTGTGACTCAAAGCAATATAGTACAGAATTAAATTTGAAGATTAAAGAGTGTCTTATTGTGCAGTGGTTGAGAGCACAGGCTTTGGACTCTGGCACATAGAAAAGTCTAAGTACATGTAGCTGCTGTCATCACCATCATTACTGTTGTGTTAAGGGATGTTGGGGAAAATAACTGCTAATTAACATATGTTCAGTGTAGCTCAGGTAGACCATATGAAGACACTGAGCAAAGCGGACAGAGAAAAAGAGGGGCTTTAAAGGGCACAGTGAAGCCCAGCTTGTTTTTGTATCAAATATATCTGCTGCTGTGAAATAGGAGGAGCAGACATACATCACAACTTCCACCTACTGGAAACAGTACTCTCTGGGCAAAGACGCCATGTGATTCTAAGCCACAAAGAGTATCGCCCTTTCTAGCTGCAAACCAGAGGTACTCAATAAGTATGGAGAGTGGTAAATGCTGGTTGCCACATTTTTAGCCATACTTTTGTACCTGATGGTCACGAGGTCAGATTTTTTTAAATAAAATGCTTTAAAGGTATACACTTCAGGTTTTAGAAGCTCATGCATTTGTAGTATTTATCATTAAATATCTTAAGGTATTAGAGTGAATGTTAACATGTGGGCTACTTTGAATCAGGCCTCTTTAGTCCAGCATACCAGTTAAAAAATATAACACTTGACACATATGCTAATTATGCCACTTGTGTCGGTTGCTGTACTTTAATATTTTTAAGTGCAGGCATTCTGTTTCAGAAAATTCTACTTATTTTTTGAGACCATAACTCTGGCCTGTTTAATTCCAAAAGACATACTAAGGGAAATCTGTTAAGTATCAATATCAAGAACTCCCATTAAAAAAGATTACTCAATTATGTTATATATATTTTACCACAATTAAAAATAAAAAGTTTAAAAGAGTGCTCAGGAATCCTTTCATACTAAAATGCTTTTATTAGCTTTCTGTAGGTTCCAAATTAGCTTTTTGTACATGTTTTCCAAGTTCACTCAATAACACTATTCTTGGCCTTGATACTTTTATGATATCTGATGAAGTTGCAGATGAAAAGGAAAAAACATTATGAGAAACAGTGGCCTTTTTTGCTGTTTGGAAGAGTCCCATGAAGTTAGTTACAGGAGGCAATAAAGTCAAAGAATCTCTTGGTTGAATTTTAGGTTTTAATTTTCTTCGGTGCTTTTTCCCTAAAAATTAGAAAGCCACAATTAAATGTCTCTTTCTTAACCCTAAAACCTCTAGGTATAGTCTCAATTGCCATTAGTTCTGTGTACTTCTATTTTCTTTACATCACTAAAACATACTAAGAGAATAGATCAGTAGCTTCCAGACTTTTAGATGTTAGAGTGCAAAAATCTTTGGGGACCAAATACATATGGTAGCCAACTTTGGGGCACTCATAAAAGAATAAATACCAACTATTATAAACATTTGTGAAAGAAAGGCTATTTTAACACCAAAACAAGTGTAAAATAAAAAAAGCATTATCTCAAAATGACAGGCTTTCCATTGAATGAAATTAACTTTATCAGAAACTTACTACATTGTTCTTATTTTTTCTTGTTACCACAAACCTGTGAAAACTTCAGACCATTACTGAAATCAATATTATAGTGAAGAAAGAATGAGACTGACTAAAGAAGCTGTACAAAAAACAGATGTTCTTTTACCCACGATGTTCAGAAATATAGCATCCCATACATACATATCTAGCTTCCCTCAAATACTCCCTGAATAAGTGAAGGTTTTTTCTTCTCCTTTTGCTCTCTCTCCCTATTCTCTCCCTTTCCATTTGTGACTGGAGCAAACTGACTTCTGAATGGTTCTATTCTTGCTTTTAACTATAGGACAATATACCACGTAAGAGTGAACTTGGTCCTACACTAAGCACACATGAACAAGCACTAAGCATATATGTGAAATCAATAATTTATTTTTTTTATCACATGTCTAATAGGCATTGATGGGTAACATTATAAGAACTGGACTTTGATCTCATAGGCCTAGGCCGCTCAGCCATCATCCACCAACTCTGTAAGACTGTGCGGAGTACAAGAGGGAAGAGTGGTCTGTGCCTTAAGAAGTCATTAGACAGTTTGTACATGGAACAGAACAATAGCAAGGTCATAACTTAAGTCCTGTTGTTTCAGTAGTGACTTATGACTGTGCATGGCTTGTGATAAAAAGCAATATAAGAGAGGAATTTATGTCAATTAACGTTAGGAGGGAAGGCCTTAAAAGAAATGTTTAACATTGGCTTGTAAATGGAAAGATACTTTAGATATACAGAATTACAAAAGCAAAAGTTTATAGGCAAACTTTTCAGTAGCCTCTACATTTTGAATTTTTATAAATGAAACACAAAATTATAAAGTGTTAGGGCTAGAAGGTACCTCCAAGATAAAAGAAAAATCAGTTACCTTTTTTAAAGACAGGAATTATGGATGGTCCTCCATTTTTCTCCAGACTAAAAGGAAAACATTTTTGTCAAAAATTTGTACACCTACGTACCATGTTCAATGCCTAATGATCTCATTTATACTTGTTACCTACAGGTATTTTATATTCATGTACTCATTTATTCACTTATCACTGAAAACATTTGAAACATTAAATCTGCAAGAAGTAATCAAGGAAACTTCATGGAAGAAAAAACACTTCATCTGGGGTTTGAAGAAAATAGGCCTTCAAATGGATGAGGTGGGGAAGAGTATCCCAGACAGAGGACATAGGCTATGGAAGATTCCAGTTCTATAAACCAGCATGACATGCTCAGAGGGCAGTAAGTCTGGTGCAGTTGGAATTAAAGGTGTCTGGAGACATTATAGGACATAAGGTTGGAGAATAAAAATCAGGTCATTTTATGTATTAAGAATGAGAAAATTTAAACTATTTTTAAAGTAATGGTGTACCAATGAAGTCTTTCAAGTCAAGGAGTAACAAGGTGTACCTAAGTTAATGTGTGTGGGGGGGTGGCTTTAAAAGAAGTATTATTTTAATCATCATCCTGTACGTATAACATATAAATACGGTATTGCAAAAAAAAACCCTGGTAATGAAATGTAAGCCTTGATTAACGTTAATATATTAAAGGTAGCTATCACAAATGTATTCCTGGTTAATTTGATAAGGAACATTTGCTGTTTTCAACCTTAATGAGGCAACTTCATGGCTGTAGGGAAATATAGCTTGTGTTAGTCTCATATTATTTTCATGGAGGGTCAGTTAACACCAGTAAAAGATGTCTCTCTACATACTTCAAAATTTACGCATCCAATATCCCATTCTTTGTGCTGGATGTGGGAATAGAGAAGTGGTATATACTTAAAAAAATGCTATTATGATCCCAACCACAATCAACTTTCTGTTTCCAGTAGTAGTATCAAGGAATGTTTTGTGGAAGGATATGTGTATTCATCCCAAAGGTTCCAAACTTGTTTTGGTAATCTTCTAATGCATTTCCCATGGTTTCATTTAAACCAAACTCCTCAGGATTGTTATGAAAATTAAAGGGAATCATCCATGTGAATATTCTAAGGAGAGTGCATAGCACTATTTGTTATGAGAATAATTGTTATTTACTCACCAGTTTCACCTCACTGGGTAACCATTCTTATAAGTTTTATAATCCTGAAAGTTGAGTCTTTACAAGTATAGGGGGTGCCATTCACTCACAGTCATGGTAGATTTATATAGTTACTACAACAGTTTTCCAGCAGATGGCAGTAAAGCACCCTGAGGAAGGGGTACTTTTTTCTAATTCCCAAAAGTTGCCTTACGGGCTAGCTGTGGGAGTGACTGTTAAATAATACTTCCATTATTTATCCTAAATTATTTTCAACCAGTAAATATTACTTTTTAACAATGTCAATTATAGAAATTGCAATTCAGATTTCCCTGGCTTTTTACGTAAAATTAGGTAATAATTTTTAGGTTTTCAGATAATTCAAATTAAAGTGACTCTGATGTACTTATTTTTCTCTATACTTAAAATTGATTTCTAGAACCATGATATTGGATCCTATTCTATTATTGTAAAGTTAATAACACATCTTGAGTAGATCTGTTTCCTATATTTAAGTAGTGCTATTTGTAGAAAAGACTTATAATTCAGCTATAGTTACAGAAGGAAATAATGCCCAGTATAAGGAGATTCTCCTTTCTTTTTCAGAAACTTAAGTTCATGATGAAACTTCAACACTGTTGCAAAATCCTCTGAATAAATGCCTGGCAAACTTTGGCATAATTCCGACAGCCAGGTCTAATTTAATTAGCTTTGGATCAAGTCCCAAAGTCCCATTTGATGCCAAGGTCATGGTGGTGTTCCTGGTTGGCTCAGAACTCTGAAATATACCCTAGGTTACCAAAAAAATGGCTTCCTGGATCAGATGTGGAGGCTACCAGGCTCCCAAAAACTTTTCTGAAATGTGAATAATCCTGGCCAGACAGGATCCCCAAGATCTGGTTGTATTCTTGTCTGCACTCACTTCTGTTGCTAACTTGGAATGAAAACAGGCTTTGGCAGTGGACGTTTAGAATGAAGTTTATCCTTTGGTATGAAGGGCATATATTCATATCAAGAATAGTTCCCCTTGTTTGATCTTCCTTAAACTTCTTTAAGAGTTCCTCTATTGATAACTTCACTACTGCAACTTCAAATATAGGCACAATACCTTAAGGAAGGAAGTCCCACTTTTTGTTGCATTTGAAATTCCTTTAAAAATGCTGGGTTAATACTTGCATCTTTGCTGATATTATTTGTTATACGAAGGAACTGATTAGGCTTATTCCTGCATTCCTTTAATATAATGCGGAAAGCATTTGCATTGTAAGTTAAGTAGCCAAGAGCACAGGAGCAAGCTGTGCGCACCTACATGAAGAAGAAACAGTTCTTTCTTAACCATTAAGCTTTGTTCTTAAAATATCTAACCCAGAACTCTCATGGATATTTCATAGGGAAGTCCCTGGAGCTAATGTATATACCAAATACATCTGTCAACCAGTGGCAATCACAGCCATGTTTTTAGAGAGAGATGTTAGCTGCTGTTGATTTCTAGTTGTTCTCAGTCCCGCTGCATTTTGAAACACCAGGATTTTTTTTGTTGTTGTTGTTCTTTTGTCTTAAGCCCATTAGCTAAATCAGACTCTTGAGTAGAATCTGAGCATTTATATTGTTTTTAAAGTGCCACAGAAGATTCTAATGTGCAGCCAGGGTAAGAACCAGTAGTTCTAAGTTTGGGCTGAGACAGTGGATCTCAGTCTTGATTGCGCATTGCAATCACCTGGGTAGCTATGACAATTACTCATGCCTGGGGTCCACCCCCAAAAACTCTGATTTTATTACTTTGGGGTGCAGCCTAGGCATCACGATTTTTTTAAAAAACTGCTCAGGTGATTGTAATAGGAAACCAGGCAAGAGCCTATAGCATAAAAGTAGGTTAAAAATAATACACTCAGGAAAGCAACTAAATTTTCCATTGACAAAAACAAAGAAACAAGAACAAACATCAGGCTACAGGACTCCAGGGAAAGTCCTTTCTTTCCTTGAAATAATTAAGTTGTTCATATGATTAATTCAAATATACTCCTGGGTCGTTCTTAGGAAAATCTTGTAGTGGTGGCATAAGAAATGTCATAGAATAAACATAAACCAGGCCCATGCAGGGTACAGAAGCTTGACATATTCGTGTTTTTTTTTAGTATATCTTTATTGATTTCATAGAGAGGAAGGGAGAAGGAGAGAGAGAGATAGAAACATCAATGATGAGAGAGTCATTGATTGGCTGCCTCCTGCACACCCCCGATTGGGGACCAAGCCTGCAACCCGGGCATGTGCCCTGATCCGGAATCAAACCCCGATCGCCTGGCTCCTGGGTCGATGCTTAACCGCTGAGCCACGCCCAGCCAGGCAACATATTGGTCTTTACATTGGCATCTGACTGCTGTATGTGCCCATGTATCTTCCATGCCTTAAAGAGTGGTTCTCAGCATATGGTCCTTGGAACAGTAGCTTCAGTTTCTGGGAACTTGTTAGAAATGCCCATTCTACTACCAGATGTAATAATAGATTGGAAACTCTTGGAATGGAGCCTAGCAATCTATGATGTAACAGGTTTTTCTGGGTGATTCCAGTGTACCCTAAAGTTGGAGAAGCACTGCCTTAGACCTTGGGGGGAAAGCATAGTGGAACACTCAGAGGCAAACACTGCTGGCAGCCTGGCTGCCTTCACATAGCTTCATCTTTAACCCTGCTCGGCAGATAGGAATGCTGTCCAGTGGATTCCACTTTCATTCATTCCAAAGAATCATAGAAAGGACAGTGAGATCACAAAATTTTGTGAGATATTTTATAAATATTTTAATTATAAATTTCTGTATTGTCAATATACTTATTTGTAAATTGAATCTTAAAGTTAAAACAAATTTTCACATTTTGTAGGAACCAGAATTGTGGATGGCAGATACAGTACTAGAGAAATTATCTCATTTTGAGTTAGTAACATGAACTATTATATAACATAGTTAACCTGTGGAGAAATTAGCCCACAGAAATGAGAGAGGCAAATTATAGTTTCAAACATTCAATCTTAAAATTACTTTTGTTTTTACCTCTTCTTTTCCTGAGTACAAATGGTAGCAGAGCCGTTGGATTGTTCCTAATGAGGTAAATGCTTCTGGAATACCAGCTCTAGAATGAGCCAGGCTAGCTATTAAATTCCCTGTAAGTTGAACAACAACAACAAAAAGCTTATTATTTCATATAAACTGATGCACTATGCTTTGGGTTATTTGCACATAGTATTAAAAAGGTTTGAGTCACAAGACATCTCTGTTAATGAAGTGCTGAGAAAAAGCATTTATATGTCAAATTTAGAATAAACTTTCCCCAAAATTATGGTTTGGTTTTCTGTCACAAATAATACAAGTTAAATGGGTTTGTTGAAGTGAGGGACTATTTGAGAGTCAAAGGTTTTCTTCCCCATGGTTTCAGAGTATGTTTTGTTTTGAGATTTCAGGGCTTTTTTTATGACTATGAATATAATGATTGATGTACCTTAAGAAAATTTAAGATATAGAGGCAAGACTAAATAAAAATAGAAAGGAAACTTAGTATGTCCTTTTTGAAGTTCAAATGGCTTTGCGTTAAGAAGAGCTTAATGGTATTTTAAAATCAAGCCCTGTGTTGCTTATTGAATTTAAAATCACTGAAGTTCTTTGGGATTGGGGGGGGCGGGGGGAGGAGGGTAGGTGGAGAGGGAGAAATTTACCAAAGAACTTACATGCAAATATGCACAACCCAAGGACAGGGACAATGGTGTAGTAACAGACTGGAGAGGGGGGGTGGAAGGGGTGGAAGGGGTCAATGGGGAGAAAAAGGGACATCTGTAATATTTTGAACAAAAAATTTTTTTTAAATGTAAAAAATAAAACTTATGAATTGTTAAAAATAAAATAAAATAATAAAATTATTGAAGTTCTTAGCATGAAAAAAAATGTTTTGGGATTGACAATAAGTGATCCAGTAATTGAATGAATGTGTAGCAACCAACTTAAAACTACCTCCTTCAAAATCTTGTGTTAATTAGAGTCTTCTTGTGATAGTCTTTCACAGTATTGTTGCTGTGTTGATGTAAGTGTAACACAACTTTTAAGAGATAAATAAATGTATTTTTACATTTGTGGGTAGATACTTTATTGAGGTATTAACTAGATTTTTGTTCTTTTATTTTTTCCCGTCTCCATTATAAGCAAAGAAAACCTTTGTATTTATTGCCTCCAGACGGGGAGGGCTGGGTTGTGTGGCCTAGAGCAAAAGTTGTCTAAAGATAACCTTTCAGGCTTCTAATTTCAAAAGCCTGAGTTTATGGAAGGCACTGTGCTATCAGGAATGGAGAAAAGTGTCTTTAAACATGGAGGACAAATGGAGGAGGGTGGAGTCTAAGACTAAGAAGACATAGTGGGAACTGGAGCTTTGAGTGTAGAATAGATAAGTGGTGCATGTAAGAAACTGGACACTTGGGAACAGAAATTCCAGTCTCCGCAAAGCTTCTGTGCCTTTGGAGCCGCTTCTGGGAATGATGTCGACTTGGACATTGAGCACATCATTTATTTTACAGTATACCTGAGACCTGAAGAGCCTGCTTTGATTGAGATACCTCCGACATGCATGACTCTGGAGATGAGTATAACTCTGATGGTAGAGTACAGAGAAAGCCCAGTAATTTTTGAGATTTAATTCCTATAAGCCTGGGGAAATGAATATTTGAAAGCACACAAGAGTTTATGGCCTGGCTGGCGTGGCTCAGTGGTTGAGCATTGACCTATGATCCAGGAGATCTCATTTCAATTCCCAGTCAGGGCACATGCTCGGTTTTTGGGCTTGATGCCCAGTGGGGGGGTGTGCAGTAGGCAGCTGATCAGTGATTCTTATCATTGATGTTCCTATCTCTCTCTTTCCCTCTCCCTTCTTCTCTCTGAAATCAATAAAGATATATTTAGGGGAACAAAAGAGTTTATGGAGTAAAATTAAACCCAATACAGTTATTTTTCAGAGTCATAGAATTATGACATTGATATGAATGTTATTTAGAGAAAAATATAATTCATAACTTCTTTTAAACATGTTTTTCCCTAGGTAGTTTCCATCAGCAAGTTTTCTGTTTGCTTGAATTTTCCTTCCATGCTAATATACAACATAAAAATATAATTATATTGCAGCAAGTAGAGTTTCCCTTGCTGCCTTCAGTGATCCATTTCAGTTAAAAAGCAAATACCTCATTTATTTTTTTGGTAGTAGTTACTCCATGTGGCTGTTCTGATACTGTTTTATGTTGTGTTGAGAGTGATACAAGAAGTCAGTTAACTACGGATTGATCATCTGGGGAATTAGACCTGGAGTAGATATAGTAACACAATTAGCATTGTGTCAAGAACTCTACTGGGCCATTTTGTCTTGCTCTGTTGCATATCAATGTGGAGAACTTTTAAATGTCAGCAAAACATGTACAGTTGGTCAAAAGGAAACCAGACACAGGTATATCAGTATAAAGTATGAATCTGCCACTATTATAAATTAATGTGTAAATTTTGTTGTTGGTAGCTCATAGTTGAATTCTCATTTTATATTCTGGAAAAAATAATGAAAGGTTTGAAAAAGTAGTTAAGAAATAAAAAGCCATGTTCAGAGTTACTCTGTTCCTGTTTGGGATGCAGAATAGACTTACTTTGTTCCATGAAGACTCATTCTTCAAACTGTGTGGCAGAGTATCAGGCTTATTATTTTATTATTACTCAGATGACAAAAACATTTTCTTTAAAAAAACAGTTTTCTATAGATACAATTAGATTATAGTTATTTCTTACCTGCCAAGATAATAGTAGTGGACTGAGCTGAGTACAGACTATCGACTAAAATAGTGACGCCTCTTGAAGACAAAGTAATATGGTCCACATCTATAATAACTTTAGCTAATATAATAATCTAAAAACAAAAAAGGCAGCTTAGAATCATTGAACATCTTCTACTCAGCCTCTCTAATTAAGCTTTTGANAAAAGGCAGCTTAGAATCATTGAACATCTTCTACTCAGCCTCTCTAATTACGCTTTTGATTGATTGATTGATTGATTGATTGATTGGTTTGGTATGACTGAATAAAAGAGAAGCGAGGGGCAGGAGCAGGAGTTAGAGTACTTGTCCCCTATCCGATTATTTTAGTGACCGTGGTAGGCCACAATATTCTTTCTACAATGTTTGTAATTTTTATATCCTTGAATTATGGGTTCATAGAAAATATTTCTCCTAAAGGTCATAGGATAGGAAAAGGAGCGAGAGAATGACTAAGAAGAGCCCAGATACATGCAGTTGTCACCAGTTGAAGAATCAGCATGGTCAGCTAAAGGTCTGCAGTAGAAAACTTGTGTTGGATACTACTGTGTTTCTCTGCCTATTTCCTTGTAATATGAAGGTGATGAAAATACTACTACGTGCTTATCAACCCGACCGGGTTTTATAAACATCAGACGATGTATAAGGGCAAAAATTCTGTTTTAACTTGTAAAATTCTACATAAATGAAGAAATCTTCACAGATAATGGTTTTTTTATGATGTGAAAGGGGCTGGTGTGACAAATACTGTGAACTTTACAAACCTGTAAACATCTTTCTGGATCCAAAAATTTTTCTAATTTTCAAGTTTTCACTAAAAAGACATTTATTGAAGTTGAAACCTCCAATTTTATACCTGAAATGCTGCCATTGCCTTCTCAGTTTCAATTGTTGATTCAAGAAAACGTTCAAAAATTGACATGGTTATTATTCCATTTTCCAATATTAAGTATTGTTGAAAGCAATCATTGAAGGCAAAAAGGGTTAATGCATAGCCTGCTCTTAAACAAATATCCTAGAAATAGAAGAAACATGCATTATCTTTAGCTAACTTCATTTATCTCTTACCAAGGTAATAGTAGTATTTGCACTCTTGCCCATTATAATTAACGTATTGCATTCTTATCCCTGGGAGTAAATATGGCATTACTGTATTGGGGAAACAGATAATAGTTACCCTAGAATGTTACTAAACAGAAAAAATAGAGAATAAGGCTGTGGTATGAGGGAGAAGAAAAAAAAATTTTTAATTTGTAACGGGAATGTTAGATTACTGGTTATGCAAATGAATACCTAAATGGTAACAGGAAATTCCATAATTTTATTTACCCTGAACATATATTTATTTTCAGCATTTCCAAGTAGAGTTGATAAATCAAAAGTTCCCATGTACAACAGACACGTATTGCATTTTAGGCATTGTGGGATGATTGCCATCTCTTAAAATAAGTTCACTTGTAAAATTCTATTGTGCTGTAGTCCAAGAAGGAATAAAAGAAAATGATTTACTTTTGCAAATCCTATTTTAATATCCTAGGACTGGGAAAAGAGCAAAACACAATTCTCCTTTAGAGACAGTCTGCTTGCCAAAGTTGAACAAGTATGGTAGATCTTCCAGAAAGGCCCAAAAGATAGAATCTTACGACTAAATTTTATTTTTAATATTTTATTTGAACAGTATAGGAGAGAGAAAGAACCATTAATTTTAGTGAGTTTTCGTCTGCCACTATGAATCATTATATAAAAAGGCTCTATGTACATATTGAGAAATATTTACAGATAACATTATATGATGCATGATATTTGATTCAAAAATAATATAGGGCTAGCGAGTAGATGTATAGAGGAAATAAGATTGGCCATGATTTGTTTGCAATTTTCCATAATAAAAATTATATACACACAAAGTAGTCACCTGGCCACAGGCAAGAAGAAAGGTATTAGGTGCAGTGAAAGGAATAGGGTCCAGAGTGAAGCAGGTGGTAACAGGCTGGGAGGAGGACAGTGGGGTGGGCGGTGGAAGAAAAGGGAGAAGGGCATCCCTGAGGAACTGGCGATGATGCCACGATGCAAAAGGAACAGAGCAAGGGGAGAAGGTGGGCGGCTGAGAGCAGACATGCATTCAGTCTCCTCCTCCTAGTATTCCCCGTGTTATTAAAGTAGAACTTCTCCATCTTCTGTGTGCCACAGTAAAGTAAGATTCTAAATTTAAAAAATATAATAATGCAGCGACTCCATGTCTCCCCTTACAACCCTTCTTTTCCCCTCCCAAGTCTCCCGGAACCGACAGAGACATAATTGGCAATTTTCTTCCCTAACTGCCAAATGCACTGTAGATAACAGAAGACTCTGAGTTTTTCTAGGGTGAGTGCTACTCAAAGTGTGGCCCATGGACCAGTGATAGTTCACAAAATGACTGACAACGGCATTAAAGAAACTGAGAATAATCATTTAAAAGAAATGGCTCTTCCTCACAGTTAAATACCAATTAATAAATGTAGAAGGAAGGAGGAGATAATTTTTTTAAAAAAATCACCATTAGGCAAATGCCACAGAAATCACTGTTGCGTCAGTGAATGCTAAAATTGATGAGCAAGAGGACAGTGCAAAACAGAATATTTGCATAACCTCAAAGTGTCTCACCTCAAGACACTTGTTAATTACAAAGGAAAGAACAGTTAACTTTACAGTGGAGAAATATGGCAGACACTTTACCCAAGTACCCAAAGTTTACACTGCCAGCTGTAAGACATATCAATGTCCTGTGTCTCCCGAAAGGATGCACTGGGAAAGTGAGTGAGGTCCAGATCATTTCTATGGTATTCTTGCCAAAATGCATCACCTCCATTTAATCATGAGAAACCATCAGGTAACTCAAATTGAGAGACATTCTACAAAATAACTGGCCTGGACTCAGCAAAAATATCAAGATCAGGAAAGACATGAAATCCTGAAATACCAAGGACAGAAGGACAATCTCCTTCACAGATCGAAGGAGACTAAAAAGACATGACAACTAGATGCAATGTGGAATCCCCACTTGGATTCTGGAACTGAAAAAGGACATTGTGAGAAAATAGGCAAAATTTAAATAAGGTCTGCAGATTGGTTAATAGCAACGTATCAATGTTAATTTCCTGGTTGACATCTCCCAGGATAAAGGATATACCAGAAGACTCTGTATTATTTTTGAAAATTTATGGAAAGTCTAAAATTACTTCAAAATGTAAAGTTTTCTGTTTTTAATGAACAGATTGGTGGGGAAAAGCTATGCCTTCATCACAAGTAGATTGAGAAGCACCATTCTAGAATATTAGGTCAGCAGTAGATGACTGCAGGATGAAAGGTCATAAAATTAGGTTAAAGAATTGATGTATCCAGGATAGAAGAGATTCGGTTTTTAGGCTTGTCCCAACACATACAATTGCTACATTTCAAACATGAAATGTTACGTTTCATTTCATGTGAAAAATATGGAACAGTACCATTCCATCATTAAAAACGAATGACCTACCCAAGAGATTTCACATTTCTTAAGTTACACATTTGAATATTGCCATGAAAAAGACTTGATGATAACTTGAGGATGTGGTGTAAAAATTTTCTTCTAAGCGACAGCTAATGTTTTGTAAAGGTATTACCTTATCTTGTGAGTGGAGAAGATAAAGGACATCAGCATACTTAAATCCTTCATTTTCTTGTAATTCGTTCTGCAGCACATTATTCCTGAGGACAATGCATGCCAAGGAAAATGCCACTTCGACCTAAATATGTGGTTTTCAGAAATTTATCATTCGCTCATGCTTTATCAAACGACATTTTTTATTATACAGACATTTATATGGGATATATTAATTCAAAGACACTGTAAAACCCATTGATTCCAATTATCTCACTGGTATTAGAGAGTGGCATGTACAACTTCTGGAGGAACGTCCCTTATTTTGAACAGCTGGGAAAATATTCTTCCTCTGTGTGCTGGCATGACCACAGAGCTCCATTTGAGTGGATCCCTTCTACATCTAAATTTTTTTTAATTTCCTGGCATGGGTGCAAAAGCTATCTTGCACTAAACTGCTTGTTAGCTTACTGACCTTTGAGTTGCAAGCCTTTAATGGAATGCCTATCAGCTTAAACAAAGCACTGAGGAGGAGCACTGAAGAATAGTTTCTATTTCAGAGTCATTATTCTGAAGCCCTTTAGGATGCAAAGGAGCCTTTTAATAGCTCCGCTTAAGTGCTCCGCTATGCATTTCTGTCCAAATGCTATGAGTTTCAAAAGCATGAATACTGCAAAAGCATTTTGTTGACTGTAGAATTTTGAGGAAAAGTATTGAAATGTATTTATGTTCTGTTTCAACAAGTTTAAGAACTCATTGAAAATGGATACTGAAATATAGATGGATGCAACTGAAGTAAGCTCTTCCTCCATGACAATGCATGCTTTAAAATAAAAATAAAAATGTATCATGTGCCATTTTCCATAGTCTTATGAAGTTTATTGGTACTTTGAAAGGCAATGTACTTTTTATTATAATTCAAGCCAAAAAACTGCTAGCATGTGCTCTTTCCTTCTTTTCCCCAATTCAACTCCCATAATAAAGTAAGTTATGGAGCCAGAAAAGCCACATAACTTGTAACATCTTTTCTGATAACAAATACATTCCTTAAAAGAAACAATGCTTTGTTTACTTACATATTTTCCTCTTTGATTATTTCTGTTTTCTCATTTCCAGCAGAGCCCATACCAGTTTTTGAAGAGAAAATGTATTTTTGATGTTATCATTTCCTGCCTGGCCAACTATATAGATCCCCGGAATTTCCAAAGCATCAGTAAAAGGGTTTGGGTAATGTGAATGTCATTTTATTAAAGGCATTCTATTAGAAGTAAATGGAAGAGTGAATGACTCTTAGTAATTCTGGGCACTGTTTACCCTTGAGAACACTGTTGCTGCCAGCCAAACAGGCTGCTTGGTAGACGGCAGGGCTGTTCTATGGGTGTAGCAATGATAGCATCCACTTACATTCGAGACATTTTGCTACACAGACCACACATCCCTATTACCCCACTCAGATTTTAGGGATGAAATTCTGTGACTAATCAAATATCTGAGGAATAAAATTTGTTTGATGAGTAAGGACATAAGACTTTCACATTTTGAAGAACTATTTTAATAAAATGTACTATCCTTGTAAAAATATGTTTTTATTGATTGTAGAGAGAAAAGAAGAGAGAGGGAGACAGAGAAACATTGATGGGCTGCCTTCCTCATGCTCCCCCACCGGGATCAAGCCCACAGCCCTGGCATGTGCCCCGAATCAGGAATCAATCCTGAAAGCTTTTGGTGCATGGGATGATGGCCAGCCAACCAAGCCACACAGGCCAGGGCAAAATTTACTATCTTTGTAGCAACTTTTTTGTTTAAAACATCTAGAATTTTGTTTAAATGGTTTAATATTTTTATTATACTTGCAAACTTGCAAAAGATACAATTTATTCTTAAAAAGTCACATTTATGTTAATTTTTACCATATCAGAAAAGAACCTTAAAACCATATATATGTACCTTAATGCTAGGAGAAGGGTGATTTCTCAGTAGTTGAATAAGTACTGGAAAGGCATTTTCCTCTACGACAAACTGCTGACTAATGGGATTGCTTGTATGCGCGACACCTGTAAGAATCCACATGTCACTGAGATACTTTTTTCCATCTTGAAATGGCAAAGTCAGACATAGCTTGATATGGCTGATCTCTGGAATCAGAGGGAGCACGCAGCTTTTCTAAAAACTGACGGTGTTCATGCTAGAGATGAAACTGAATTCTATTCAGGCAAGAGTTGTGCTTATGTGTACAAAGCATAGAACAACACAGTGACTTTTGTTGGCAAACTGAACAAAACCAGAGTAATCCGGGGAAAGGTGACTGATGCCCATGGAAACAGTGTCATGGTTCACGCTGAATTCCAAAGCAACCTTCTTGCTAAGGCCACTGGACACAGAAACGACAGAGATGCTAGAACTAGATACAGGGATGATAGAACAGCTTTTTAAAATATGCTGCATTTGTTCAAGAATGTAGAAGGAAGCCTGAACATGATAAGAAAAAGGAAGGGGTGTGTGTGTGTGTGCGCGCCATAACCAGTCTAAACTGTTGAGTTTGAAAACAAGGGTTTTCTTCTGTAGTTCTACTGGAGAACCCCTTGTCTGTGCAAATGTGGACAGCTTTGAAGGGAACTAATGAGAAGAAAATGATTATACACACATACCAGTTATCTTTGTATATATGTTATCATTTACTAGAATTTTAAAATTACCTATGATTTATACCATATTCTCTGGCTAAAAAAGGAGTATTATCTTTTCTGACTGACTGCTTTAGGGTGGTTAATGAATTTCTGTAAAGTAGCTGTTTCAAGCAAAGAGGAAAAATGCTTTTGGAACTAATTTCTACATTCTTCATCTAGCTAGACTATTTTTTGAGGAAATACAATGAACTAGAAATAAAGATTTTTCTCTCTTGTCTACCTGACACAGTATGTGATCAGCCCTGTACATTTTTTTTTTTAGCCCCATACATTAATGAAGGTGATTAAAGAACCCACATTTTTATGTTTTGGTAGGTCAGTCACTAACAATTCCACAACATTTTCCAGACATTCCAAAATATTAATTCCTTTACAAAGTGGCCACTTTATGAACAAAGAAGCATCAAGATAAGAAACTGTAATTGAAAAATGTGCCTCAGCATTAGAAACTCTTCTACGTCTTCAAAAACAGTTCTGGAAATTTGAAAGAAAAAATATTTTTCTCTTAAACTTAAAAATGAGATTCCTTTAAGTCAAAATAGCCAAGACTCATTGACCTCATATCCCTTTCTAACCAGAGTTCAAGAAAAAAAAAAAAAAATGATACAAAAATTTGAATTACACCACTTTTACTCATTAAGATCTTGGAGAAATAAAAAAAGTTGCAGCTATAAATTAAACATGCTTAAGGGCTCTAACAGTGGGGATAGAGAGGAAGGGAAGTATCTTGGTTATTTAAAAATTGAGAATAAATTCACAAACCAGTACACATTGATCCCACTGCTCTGATGACACTCAGAAGTGTGCCTTCGGCAAGCTTACTGATCCTCAGTAAACGAACCAGCGGTGCAATTCCATTCCCTTCACAGATCTGGTTCTGATGTGTCCTGCTGTCCTTACTCAGAGCGATGACTGCTTCGCCTCCTGGCAAAGAAAAGCCAGAAACATGTCTGATCTCTAACGTTCCCCACTGTGCAGATTTATACATGGAAAATAACTTACCAACGTACTGCATTTTAGCTGACGGTGACAAAAGCATATTTATTATAAAGTTGTATCCAATCTGTTCTGCCATATACTTCTGTTGTTTCAGCGTCTGTCCTGCCAAGGCCCAAAGTGCTATAGCTCCTTGTTCCTTAGTATCTATTTGAAATGCCTGTTTTAAAAGAATATATTTCATTCACTCAATGAGCATTTATTGAATACTGTAGGACTATCCGTTTTACAAAATGTTTATTCTGGAATTGGTTTTAGTTTTCTTTAAACTAAATTCAATATGGAATACTTTAAGAAAAAGAACAAGAAATGATAAAATCCCTACCTTGAGGAGTTTTAAAAGATATTTACTTAATGAATTTTCCAGAAATGCTCTCTGTATAGAAGGGTTGTAACTTGCCAGTGATTCCACAGCCATCGCACCTTTCACTTGGACGTTAATTTGGTTCCCTTTAAAAAGAGCCACCAGCGGAGGGATGGCTCCCTCAGCAGCCATGGCGTTTTGAACCTCCTTATTGTCACGTGCAACCTCAGCTATTGTTGCAGAAGCGACAGCCTTTAACAAATCTTCAAATGAATTCAAGAACCAGTTAATTAAGTCTTTTAAAAAGTAAGAACATAAAAACACAGCATGTTAGTTTCCCATATTATAAAATTACATTTATACAGTTTATAGAAAATAAATAGAAAAAATAAAACTGCCCAGATTCTCACCACCCAGACACAAACATTTCATTTAATCCCATCTACTACTTTTTATGAATATATATATAAATTTAAATAACGTTAAAAACATATTTGACGCTGTTCTATAAACAATTCTTGCATTTTCATTTACCAATAAAACATTTTCCTATTATTTATAGACATCAATCTTCTAAATATTCCGTGAATGGTGTGTCACATTTCCTCAGTAACTCACATTTTATTTTTATTTCTGAGTTGCAGTTTATATTCAACATTATTTTGTATTAGTTTCAGGTGTACAGCATAGTGGTTAGATATACTTTACAAAGTGGTCCTCCCGATATTTCAAGTGCACACCTGGCATCGTAATACTTACTACAATATTATTGACTATATTCCCTATGCTGCACTTTACATCCCCAGGACTGTTTTATGGCTACCAATCTGTACTTCTAATCCCTTCACCTTTTTACCCAGCCCCCCAAACCCTCTCCCCTCTGACAACCGTCAGTCTGATCTCTGCATCTAGGAGCCTGTTTCTATTTTGATTGTTCATTTATTTTACTCTTTAGATTCAACATATAAGTAAAGTCATATAGTATTGAGTCCTTAATCCATTTTGAGTTTATTCTTGTGTGTGGTGTAAGGTGATGGCCTAGTTTCATTTTTTTGCATGTATCTGACCAATATTCCCAACACTACTTATTGAACAGACTGCATTTACCCCATTGTATGTTCTTGCCTCTTTTGTCAAATATTAATTGACCATAAAGGAGTGGGTTTACTTCTGGGCTCTGTGTTCTGTTCCATTGGTCTGTGCGTCTGTTTTTGTGCCAGCACCATGCTGTTTTGGTTACTGTGGCCTTATAGTTTGATATCAGGTAGTGTGATATCTTTGACTTTTTCTTCTTTCTCAGGACCACTGTGGCTATTTAGGGTCTTTTGTGGTTCCATATAAATTTTTGGAATATTTGTTCTAGTTCTGTGAAAAACTTTAAAGCTCAGATTATTGGTGCTAAGTAAAGACAGCCCTCTTACTTTAGAATTTCTATCCAATTGATAAATAGACTCAGGAATCAAATAAAGATAAAAACTTTAGCATGACTGCTGGAAGCTTGTTTTGAGAAAAAGTGCCAAAAAAGAACTAAATCGCGCATTTATAATGACTCACTCTTCAAACTGAGCAAGTACAGAGTTCACGTTACCTTTCAGCAGAGGGCTGAGTGACATTCCTGAATGGGAGGTGAGAGTAGGAATTTCTGCTTTTTGGGCTGATGCAGGAATAGGGGGTGAGAGAAAGAAAGGTTCCCCTCCCTCTCTCTTAATTTTGTAAACCCAGGAGTTTAAATTTAGGTGTTCCAGATATTTAGGTTATACTACATATGTCTAGATCCTTTCTAAAATAAATCCAGGACATCTAATTCATGTAGGGCAAGTCCAAGCCTATGTTTGCTTCACTTAATATATCTGGTCACTTAAAAATAATACATAAATCGAGGCTCACCTGAATCAGAACTCAGAAACATGATAAGATACTGGATGCCTTTATGGTCTCTCACTGCTTTTTGGTTGCTTTCATTTCCCATACATAATACCCGTATACAGTGCATTACATTTACTAGCACATTTTCTATGTCTAACTTTAAGAGGTTTATCAGAGCTGGGATTCCATTCTAAAAGTAAGCAAAAATTTTAATTACAATTAAATTTACTTAAGATGTATGAAACTTTATTTAAAATCACAAGTCTATAATCTTACTGGAAATACTTGTTTATTTAGGAGAGAACAACTATCCATAAAAAAATATGTCTCCTGATATGGCTCATAGAGGAACAGTTAATACAGCTTTGAGAATACTGTGTGCTTTAATATTAAGGAAAGTATATATTTTTTAAAATTTTTATTTTTATCTATCTATCTATCTATCTATCTATCTATCTATCTATCTATCTATCATCATCTATCATCTATCTATCCTCACCCGAAGAGTGAGAATATATTTTTCCCATGACTTTTAGAGAGAGTAGAAGGGAGGGGGGAGGGAGAGAGAAAGAGAGAAAAACATCAATATGAGAATCGATGTGAGAGAGACGTTGATTGGCTGCCTCCCATACATGTCCCCATTGGGGGTGGGAATCAAACGTGCAACCCAGGTAGGTGCCCTTGACCGGGAATGGAACCTGTGACCCTCTGATGCGCAGGCCAATGCTCTAAGCACTGAGCAATGCTGGGGCCGGGACTAGAAATATATTTTGAAATAGCCTCTTTTTTACCAAAATAAGTTGAGGCTGCCAGTTCATTGTAACATGTAATAAATATCTAAAAAGTAAAGCAACCAAGTAAGATCAGTTGAATACAGTGTCATGTTGGAAATAGTTGCCATCGTAGATGCACTCATTATTGGCAACTGTAGTTGTGCAACCTAAATTATTATTTTTAAATGTGAATATAATTTCCTAACTTTACATGTAGTCAAGATGGACTTTCTCCCTACTAATAGAAATAAAGGCAAGGTATCTAACAGTTGTCCACGTGGCTCTACATGATGTGATCCACCATTACCCAGCCAAGTGTCTCCTATTTCTCCTCAGCTACTTTTGCTTCTCTCCATTCCTTGAACATGCCAGGCACACTCCCACTGCATTTACTTTGGTACTTATTTCCTCTGACTAGAAGGGTCTTCCCAACAGAAAAACATGGCACACCCCTCATCTACTTTAGGTCTATACTCAAATGCCAAATTCTTAGTGGAGTATTTTCCACCAAGCACCTCCTCTCCCCTTTCCCTGCTCCATTTTCCTCCTTAATATCTATTCTCAACTAACATAATAGACTATGTATTTGGCTTACTTGCTTTATTTATTGTCTTGTAACCCCCAACTAGAATAAGAGCTCCATGAATGCTGGGATTTTGTCTGTTTTGTTCACTGCTGTAACCCCAACATCTAAAATAGTATCTTCCACATAATAAACTCTCAGAAATTACTTGTTGTATGAATGAACTGAAAGAATACTACAGAGCCCGGCCGGGTGTGGCTCAGCAGTTGAGCATCGACCTAGGATCCAGGCCATGGGGGTTCGATTCCCGGTCAGGGCACATGCCCGGGTTGCGGGCTTGATCCCCAGTCGGGGGCGTGCAGGAGGCGGCCGATCAATGACGACTCATCATTGATGTTTCTTTCTCTCTCTCTCCTCCTCTCCTGTCCTCTCTCTGAAATCAATAAAGATATATTAAAAAAAAAAGAAGAAGAATACAACAGAGATATAGTATTTAAAGGTATAAATTCAAGGAAACATTCCAAAAATAAAAAGATGAAGGTACATGTTGAAAAGTTATACCGAGTCCCAGAAAAAATAGGTAACTAACATTGATGCATAAGTCCTAGATTTTAAAGGTGAAGAAAAAAGAAAACTCTGATTATATAGTAGAAGATTTAAAAAAAAAAACAAAATATGACAGAACGAAGATTAAACATGTCACATCAATAAATATAAAGTATTATACTCAATAGAAAGTAAGTGACAAAGCAAAAAGTAAATACAGTGCATAAAGGGATACATTTATCCTAACTCTGGGTAATTCTCAGAATCACTGAAGATTATAAGGCCTAAATTAATAAGACTGATTGACTAACTCTGAAGGTGGGCTGGGGAGTTTCTATATTCCTAATATATTTTCTAAATGATTGATAACAAAACAACCGACATGAAATAAAATAAAAAGAGAAGGATGGGGCAAAGCCAAATTAAACATGAGAGCACAAGGAAGACAGAGCACAAACACTTTTGGACAAGATAGAATTCAGGGCGAAAGTGTTACACTTGACAAAAAGGGTACATTTTATAATGCTAAATGACTCAATCCATAATGAGGAAGCAATCCCTGGAAGAAAACTATATAAAAAAATCTTACTTGTAAATATCATTAGAAGATCTTAAACATTAGCAAACATAATAACGTGGGTTTCATTTTGAGAAAATACAGCATGCAAAGATTGTGGTGCACAAAAAATAATTTTCTTCTAATTCTGGTACACAGTTACACTACTTTTTTTTTTTCTTTTTTTTAATATATCTTTATTGATTTCAGAGAGAGGAAAGGAGAGGGAGAGAGAGATAGAAACATCAATGATGAGAGAGGCATTGATCCAGCCCGCAACCCGGGCATGTGCCCTGACCGGGACTCGAACCCCGATCACCTGGATCCTAGGTGGACGCTCAACCGCTGAGCCACGCCCGGCGGGGCTACATCTCTCGGGTAGGATGGAAATCTAGGGTGGTAGTGTTTCCTATAATATCTTCTCACAAACAGCAGGCTTCTCATAAACAGCAGGCCAAGTGCCTCCGTAGCTCCCCTAGAGCTAAGCTTGGCCTGCCTCCCGTGTTTTCCCAGGTGATAGCTCTACCAGGTACTTTCGCTAAGACAGTCTTCCCTGGGCCTCTTGACGCCCTGCCTGTGTGGTGTGTATGAAGACTGTAACGGCTCTTGCACGGGGGCCATGCTTCGGGCTTTTGTGTGGCTGGCAATCTTATTCGGTATGGTAACAGCTCCCTCCAGAGAACAGGCTTGCTTACTGATGGCTAACGAAGCGACAGGTTTCTTAAACTCAGGGTTCCACAGATGTGTCGCAAACCCAATGCGTAGGCAGCATGCCCCTGGGCCCGCCGCGCCGCCTGGGGAGGCTTGGGGACAGGGGAACCGGGCATCTCTGCTGACGCCCATGCCCTTCGCTGTGCTGCTCCTACTGGCTTCCCGCGTTTACTCTGGGCGCTCACCCACTGTGGCAGGTTTGCTCTTTGCTGCCCTCACTGAGGCTGCAATTTCGCCCTGAAGGCTTTGCCACTACGTAACAACATGCGTATGCATCCTTCTAGTTTCTATATGAGGGAATTACTGTCAGTCAAAACGACGCTCTAGGCAGAGAACTTACATATTTGGCAATAACATCCTTGTTTTCCAGTTGAGCGATATCATAGAGGATGACAGCACAGCGGGAGTGTAGTTCCGGCTCGTCAGACACCAGCAGGTTGATCAGGGCCGGAATGCCTCCGGCCTCCACTATAGCGTGCACTACGCTTACATGGGTTGAGATATTACTCAGTAACCCAACTGTTTTGCACTGTAATTTTATTTTGGAGCCTTTTAATAGACTGATTAAGGCAGGAATGGTGCCTGCAATGAAGAGATCAGGGAAAGCAGGAATTATTTGTAACCATTTGTAGTCAATTTATCATGATAAGCTTTAAATAATGTTTATGGAAATTGCCGTGTAAGCAATTAGCAAGTAATTGTATAACATATTGATAAAGTTATCACTTAGCACTACATGAATGCACGTTTCTGTTTTGTCTACAGTATAGAGAGCTCTCATTGTTCATACATTTAATTCTCACACAGCATACAAACATACATTTCATATTGGTAACCCTAAGCCACCTCTGAAACACTGAATTTTGGCTTAAGATCATGAGCAAATAAATTCTTTGAGCTACTATATAGTAGAGTTCATTTTGTTTATTCATGAAATTTGTGCGGCATGTTTGTGCAGTTACTTGAGCATTGTATTATATTTTACCCATATTTTATACAAGCAACCGAAAAACAAAAATAAACAGCTGAATCTGGTAAAAAGCAACCTTAGCTTGATTAATTGGTTCAAAAATCATTGGGCATGGTGAAAATAGAAAATCTGGCTTCAGGTGGATGCTTGTTATATCAGTCCATTTTTAGAGAAATAGGATTTATATAGATTTTTGATCCCATGCCGCATCCATGGGGAAAATAAAAATGTATCTTAAAGTGATTAACTGAATATAATAGAGCTCTGTATGAAACAGCATAAGCAAAAGGTAGTTCATAAAGTTTACATCACCTGCATTCAAAATACACTGCCAGTATTCATCCTTTGCTAAGCAAATTACTTCTAAGGACATGACAGCCATCATCCTTCGTTTGTAGCTTTCGCACTGCAACATTTCTGGTAAGTATTAACAGAAAAACACGTTATAATTTTACAAAAAGAGGTGGGATGATTGACTCTTCCTGTGTAGGCCAAGCGAAACCATGAGCTGGAATCACCATCACCACCACTTGCATTCATTAAATTTCCTCCCTCTTTCCCCACTCCCTTTAAAAAAAAATTGCTTTTTTGATGGAGAAGAAGATGGTTGGACTTTGGGGTAAAATTGGAAAATAAAAATAAATTTTAAAAATAAAAATAAATATAATTGTATAAAATGTAGCCTGGGATATTTATCTGTTTTTAATTTAAAAATTAAACTACTTTTGCACAGATAAAAACACAGTTCAGTTCTATTTTTATTTCTGGTTTTAACTCAAAAATGTTTATTTCATAATTTTTAAATGTTTAAAATATGATGCTTGTATTACTGCATTTTGTTTGCTCTATTTCAGAGTAAGTATCAATAATTAAAATGAATAATAGAACATTTATTTATAAAGACATTATGTGTTCTATACTCACCTACCAAAGTTTTCCAAACTGGGAGTTCAGGAATATTTAACTCTATTATATGCTTGAGAACCTCGGTGTGAAAGGTTAGCACTGATAAATGAATTATATTATTTCCTTTAATATCTGTTTTTCTCCAGTCAGCACCAAGAGAAAATAAGTACTTAATTGTGTCCAGTGCTCCTGAAGTGGCAGCAAGTAAGAGTGGAGTACACTGATTCCTAAAAATCAAGGAACATATTATAATAATTGAGTGCACATATAATGTCAAATTTACTTTTTTGTAAAACTCTCCAAATGGCTATTGAAGGAAGTCTGACTTATACCATCACCTTCTTTGTCTTACACCCTGTGATCCATTTGTAAATAGATTTGCTTCTCCTGCCCTGGCAGTCCTAAGTGTTTGCCCCTATGCTCCTTCCCAGATTAATTACCATGTCTTATAATTTGTTCAAAAGTTGACCATTCACGAAGTTCTTAAAATACTCTATCTCATCTAATCCTTACAACCAACCACTCTATGAGTGAAGGAGAAAAAGCAAGGCAATTATTATCAGCCCAATTTTACAAATGCTAAAACTGAGGCTCAAGTAGTGTTACAACCCCTTTCTTTATCCTTCACGCCCAGTTCTCAAATCCCAGATTCCTCACTGTAGCAGAAACTAAGTTTCTCTCAAAACCCACTATCTGCTTTTTAGAGTATGAAGATCTTTTGGTTGGGCACAGGGCTCTCCAGCCCAATGTGGCATCCCCACCTTCCTTATGGGTAGGTGTGGCCACCAGACTAAGGTTGGCCAACGAAATATTAATAAAGTTACCTGGACAGCAACCTCAAGAGACAAGGAGTGGGCCTTTACTTTTCCTCTCTCTCCCTTCTCGTTGCTTGAATACAGGCACACTAATGAAAGAGGCGTTGCCATGTGGCACCAGGATGTGGAAGCCACACGGTAAGAAGCAACAAGAGGCAGCCTGGGTCCCTCGCACTGCTGAGCCACTAAGTCAGCCTCCGACCGGGAACCCAGACTTCATAGAAAAGAACTACACATTTATCTCACTTAAACTACAAATATTTGGGGATATCTTTGTCACAGCAGCTTCAACTGTACCTTAACTAACAGATCTACCGACTAGCAATGTGGCCTCAAGCAAACTGGGTTGTTTTCTTTGTCTGTAAAGGAATGAAGGTAACAATCAGCTGCTCGCGTTGGTCTAAGGGATAAGGTGCTTAGCACGGTCTGGACGCATAGTTCCCCTCTACCCTTCCACCACATCACATTGCCTCAAACATTCCTTTTTCCTACCCAGATACCTAGGCCTTCATCTCCTCATGAAACCTCTCCCCTCGCTGCCTGTCCTTGAACTCTCCCCTCTATCCAGCTGGCCCCAAGCCTCTCCTCACCCCCCTTCTTCCTGAGCCCTGGAGAAACTCTTGCCCTTTATGAGTAAACATCTCTTCACTTTCTCCCTTGTCTACTTTAGCAAGACCGGTCTCCTGTTGCTTTCTTTCCCCTTCTCAATGGCAGGAATAGAGATTACTGTGACTTCCAATGCCGTCGCTCTGATTTACCTCACTTGAAAAGTGTGCTACACATTGTATTACCCTATCCAGCTCCATAAGGCCATCGCCCCCGCCCCGATGGTCTCTTTCCACATCCTACCTCATGCGTCGCTTCACCAGCATGCCCCCTTCTATTGTCAGTGACTTCAACGTCCATGCCAGTTACCATCAGTGTTGATTTCTCAGGGCCTTGTCAATTTGTGCTCCGTAGTCAAATGCACATTCAGCACAGCCACACTCCTCGTCAGCCCCACATAGGAGATCTCAACCTCGGAAACTGTCCTCCCTGCTAATCCTCTGTTTCTTCCTTATGTTCACAGATGGCTTCTTTCTTCTACCTCTGATATCCAACTGTTCGACCTTTACAATCCACCCAGTCTTTTAGCCCCCTTGTGCCCGAAGACACATTGTCAAACTGCGACAGAATCAGGACCTGAACTCAGGTTTCCACATTCCATCGCTCTGACCTGAACTCAGGTTTCCACATCCCATGGCTCTTTCCAGAATCTATTAGTTAGACAATGTGTTGGCCGGAGACCCTGGTCTCCTGAAAGCCTTCTCCACACACGTCTCTGCCCCAGTGTAGCAGGAGGATTAATTTCCTCTCTGAATAATAACGGACAGGTTATTATTTGAAGATCCAGAGATATCGGAATGAAAACATTCCTAGGTCATGTCCAGAGATTCAAAACAACCAGCTGGTGTTTCAATTACCAGCCAACAGTGTACCTTCAGGAGAAATTATAGAAGTTGATTTTCCGCTCAACTGTGAAACAGAAGCCTGTTTGGGATGTTTACCTATTTCGAAGTTATTTACTTATTTTAAATGTGTTTTTCTTCTGGATACCACTAGGCATGTCTCCTGTTATCTAAGGCCTACCCACTTTGGTCTGGAGCCAGGGGGCTGCCTCCTGATTGTATAGGTTCCAATTCAGAGGAACATTCTCTTGCCTAGTCTCAGGCTTCTTCCAGGGCACTAAGTAAACCTGATAAAGTACTCTGCAGAACCATACCATCGGGAAAGGCCAGGAAAAACTTCCCAGGGCTTATTCACTCTTCCAGACAACAAGCGTAGGTTAACAGAAGTTCTGTCAGTATAAATTCTAAAGATAAGTGGTAAGAGAAGAAAACAGTGACCAGAAAGGATAGCAGGGTAAGCCTTATACAGCCTTTCAAGTCAATCAGACCAACCATTTCTTTCAGGGTCAGTGTTTGGGACAAGCCATGAAAAAAATGTGTATTTTTAACAAATGCTTAGTAACTTACTCAGCTGTCGCCTCAGCTTCTAGCAAACTCGGATCCTTCCTACAGAGAACAATGACGATGCAGATGTTGTCATAGAAAGCAGCAAAGTGAATGGGCATCCAGCCTCTTTTTTCGGAAAGCGTGTAATCAGCTTTGAAGCAGAGTAGACAGATGACTGTTTCTATTGAGCAAGCCTGTGCGGCCAGGTGTAGAGGTGTTGGACCTAGAACGGATGGACAATGCCTTCAGTGGCCAAAGACCTCACATTCCTAAAACACATGCCTTTTTGATATCCAACTCAGGGTGTCCGGCTACTAACAATTAAGTCAATGTGTTACATAGTCTTGTGACAAAATAAGCTGTTTCTTGTTTAAATCATTTTCCATTTGATTCAAAAGGCCTCTAGTGTTTCATTACTCATCTTACCTCTCAACAGTAAGCTGGCCATATCTGCCTCTTTAAAATAGCTTCTTTCCTTGGCTTTTGTGATAGTCTCCCCTCGGGTTTTTCTCTGCCTCTCTGGCCCTTGGCATTCTCCTTTGGGACTTTCTCATTTCCTTACCTCATAGATCATTACTGTCACTAGGTGGCAGCATATCTAAATAATATTAACTGGGTTTTGTTTACGTTATAAAAAACCACTTTTGGGTCTGATTTTATAAAAATAAGTAGAGGTGACTGCAAATTTCACAGTTAAAAAATGGAGGGAAAAAACCCTCAACAAACTTAGGAGAAATATGAATAAATAACCACGGGTAGAAAAAGTTTACATTTCCAAATGTATACAAAACATCATTAAGTGACATTCTCGTGATAGAGAGCATTGTGGAGATTATATACTATAAGAAAAGTTTAAATATAGGCAATAACATTTTTTAAACGCACCAAATATTTTACTCTCGTCTTACCATTTCTTTCTTTTTTCACATCCATTTTTGATGACTCTGTTTTAAAAGAAAATACACATAGAAATATGATTATTAATATATAGCAGTTTCCTAAATTAGTCCAAATCAACTCATATGGGCAAGAACAATAAGATTGTGGCTAGATACAGACCGCGTCCCACAGGACTGGATATCACCTCTGGTGAAGCCACCTGGGTGCGCTGTGTGTGCCGACGCCACATCGGAGACCCGCAAACGCCCCTCCCCAGGGGCTGGTCAGGCTCGCGCTGAGGCCCTTTTGTGTTGGTTAAGTAGTAATAGGCACTGCGAGGATTGTTCAGTGTTTCCTATACTTCAAAATCTGCCCAATTCTCAGTCAATGGAAGTTCAAATAGTCATGGGATGAATGAGAGACTCTAATCGGTCAAAGTATTTTTTCACACCGAAAGGGTTTAAAATATAATGCGCATTTGAATAATAGCTACTCACTGCATTTAAATTTGACTGAATTTGTGCTCTTTTTTTAAAAAACTAAAATCATTCTGTATTGAATATTTTCATTGAGTAATAGAGGCATCTTACTATCAAAGCATTTTAATTATAGTGATAGAGTACAGAATGTGTTAGTAGTCAATAGGATTAAAGCAGAACATTTTGTTCTAGTGAGTGAAAATTTAACACAGCTTGCTAAGACAGCTAGTTAAAATATAAAATCACTGTTTTTTTATTGCCAGTATTGTTGTACCAGCCATTCCTGACATTTTATCTCTATTCCTCTTTAGTTCTGGAGGACCTCCCCCTTCGTTTCCAACTTCATCACTTTTATACCAGTTAAATACATTCTAATGAATATATAAATATGTAGGTATAGCTAATAAGCAGGGAAAACTGATTTTCAAAGTTTAAGTGAGGATAGCCTTAAAGAGGTTATTAATCCTAAAAATTAATTATTATAGAGAAATGTTTTGTTATAAATGTAATTTAAGTTTATGCAGTGTGAAGAAACCATCCCCTGGCTGAGAACCCTGGAATAAGAAATGGATGTTCTGCTAGGGTCTCTATTGAACCCACTTTTCTCTGAATTTCTAGAGTAAATCACTGTACATTATGCCTGCGATTTTCAAATGCCACCCTGCATTCATACATCTATGCATTCGTTCACAAGTGATTTCCTGAGCACCTTCCAATGCCAGGCTTTCTACTGGGCACTGGGAAACAAAGTAAACCAAATCACTGCCCTTTATGGAGCTTGTATTCAAGTGAGGGGGCCAGAATAAATAAATAACAACAGGCAAGGGAGCAGTGAGTGATACTCAGAAAACTAAAAGGAGCGCCTCTGAAATAAATGAAACAGAAACCTCAGCTTTGCTCTAGGTACCAATACCAAATTTTAGTCTTGCTCTAAAATCAACATACATTCTTAATGCTGAATAGGGGTAAGGAAAAGAAAAACATTTTAAAACTTTATATAAGACTTAAAAGCTTGATGGCACCTTGGCTAAACATAAGAAAGCGTCTCTGGTTGACGTTGAAGTTAGCTTTGCACAGCTGACATATAATGGGGATTCTGTTGTGCAGAGCAGCGTGGTGGAAAATCGCATAGCCCGCCTCATCCGAAACGTTGATCGTTGAGCTTGAGGTTTTACGGCTAAATGTATGGAAAACAGCGGATAACCCTCTTTCAACAGCAGACTTCATACCGTACGGGATACTCTAAAAGTTATTAAGAAGGCCAGAATTAGTTTTTTCAAAATACGTCTGAAGTTTGTTTTAAGGAATAAAAGACAGTGAAATATATTAATATAACCACATGACTGGTGCTCAATTTCAGTAGAATTTCCACATGATCCTTGTGGAAAGTGTCACACTGGGCAGTGATTAAAGTTGTTAGAGCTATTAAAGTAACATTATTTTGGGGAGGTCTTCCCCCCTTTTTTTAGGGAGAGAGTGCAGATCCTTCTTCTTTGGAGATGAGAAAAACGGGGTAGACAAGTATCTTTCTGAAATACTTTAAAAGCAAAGGGAGATCACTGGGTTCCTTCTCTGATTTAAGAATATAGTTCTAATTTAGAAGTTTAGGAACTCAAAATACATAGCTATAGAAATCTTAGAACAATAAAGATGATGAATACTAAAAAAAGAAAAGAAGTACAGTTTGTGTTCTTTGTTCTAGGTCTTAAAATGAAGAGGTAAAAATGTCACACTTTTCTTTGAGACATTCCAACTACTTAATATTTTAAACTAACAGGTTATTAAAATTTTGAAATTCATAGACATTAAAACAAATAAATGGTAAGTAGATGCCAGTGTGTTCTTTGAAACTGGTGAGCTCACCATTCAATATATCAGTTCCAGAAGCTATAAATGAAGCCTTGTTGAAGCAGCCGTAGAGATTTGGTTCAGGATGTTAGGTTTGCTCCTTAGGTTTAGTTCCCAGGACTGAAGCTGGGCTCTACCATGTATGAGCTATGTGATCTGGGAAGGGCCCTTAACTCGCTGCACCTCACATTTCTCATTTGTAAAATAGGAGTGATAATATTACTACTAGTACCTTGAAAGGGTTTGTTGAAAGGATTTATAATAGTGCCTGGCATGCAAAATTAGCACTTAATAAATATTAGCCATTCTTAAGATTATTCACAATCCAGTTCATTAACAAGTTGTTTTGTAACCCTGCCAGAAATTTATAATCCAGAATTGTATAGCTTCTCAGTTGCTAAAATGTGGAATGTTTATTTCATATTGAAAACTTTACTTAACCTACTATTTACCCCTAAGATGAAAATTTGAGACTTTCTTATCTATGATATATAACTTCTTACACAAAATTATGTGGTAATTACTGAAATACCTTGCACTTCATAGCTTTCTTGACACCAAATTTTTTCTTAAATTGTTCATGTAATTGAGCATCTGTCAGTGGAAGTCTTTTCGGTCTTAGATTGTTCACTATTTCGTTTATGGCTCCCCACCACTGTGTCTTATAGAGTTGCTGATAGAAAGTTTCAAGTTCAAAATAGATCACATAGTAGCTATAAAACAATTTTTAAAAGATAAGTTTTCCTGGCTTTGAAGTGATTTGCTACTTTTTATATGCTGGTAAAACTTTATATTTTATAACAATAAAATGCAAACATGTAGTTTAAATTGTACTCGATTATACACATTTTAAAAACATGGTCATCAACAGTTATTAATCAAGTCTTTCTATAACAAGTATCTTCTCCACACTGGCCCTTCTAATTGACTCTGTCCTTCCCGTGCCAGTGACTAGGGGCACTGCCTAAAAGTCACTGGAAGCCCTAACTTTTGCTTGAAGGAATTCTAGGTTTACCTTTTAACCATCTGCTTACCCTCCTTTTACAAATGTATATATTAACTCTTTTAATAATTATGCCTCCACTTGCTTCCTCAAGACTTTGCCTTGAGTCTGACCTGGGATGATGATTTTTACTCACTACAGCAGACTAGAGAAACCCCCAACCCACCGGGTCCTTGAGATTATAGGTAGACAGTAGCCCCAGTCCCCGATCAATCTGGAAGAGAAAAGTAACAACATTTTGAGTGGCTCTGTTCCCTGGGGGTGCTTATTATCACAGGTAGAAGAAAATGGTGGCTTTTCTCCACTTCTGCCCATGAGGTATGCTTTGCCATCTCCAGATTTCAACGGTAAGCACCTCAGCGGATGACTCTGCCTCTGCCAGTGGGAAGCCTCTTGCTCTTACCTGGGCTTGTGCTTCAAATGCAACTACTGATTGCTGTAAATACAGTGGTCACCCCCTCCTACGGCTGCTCACTTTGCTGCTTCGGGACTGCCGGTTCTCCTAAGGGTGCTGAGAAGTTTGTTCCGTGGTGCACACTTGCAGGGGAGTGCGTCGGTGGCTGATTCCCTTCAGGGAACTCTGTCCAGAAGCTGAGGAGGAACCACTGGGCCCGTGCGTCAGCTCAAGGAAGGTCTTAGGGAAGCGCTGTTATGAACTAGTCAGAGGCCGATATCCCTTTCCTTGACCCAGTTTTCTGGATATTACAGACTTCTGCATGGATGCAGGCCTGTCTGAGGCCCTGTTTACATTTATCTGAGGTTGTCATCCTTCTATCTACCATCCTCTCTCACAAAATGAAACAGGAACGCAAGAATGTAAGCCAAAGGCTGTCTTCACCCACACCCTGCAAGTACAGTGCTAGGGCTGGTGGTGGCACTTGTCACTTTATCCATGGGCCCCGACTTGTGGAGGTGCCACCTTCATCAACAGGGACTTGCCTAACTTACTAGGCTGAGACCAAGGAGCAGATATGCTGAATCCTACTCAAATCACAGCGGTGATAAGCCCTAGAACCTTAAGGAGCTGTATAGAGCAGACAATGCTAATTATAATTACCATCTCTACGGATTATTATACAGAATGTATCAAAGAGCATGAAGTAATAAATATAACATTTAATACTTTGTTGAGTTCGTATGTCACTCATGGGGGTTATTATTGTTCTAAGATCTCCATCTTAAGGTTTTAAGTTAGTCTTTGAATTTTGACACTTTCCTGTTTTCTGCTAACATTCAACAAGTTGTGGCTACTGTGAATAATTACTGAAAGTTCCTTACCTTTTTCCATTAAATTCCATGACTGGTATTGAGTAATATTCTTTGTATCCTGAGTCTTCTACAAATGTATTAGCAGCACAATCCCGTATTTTTTCTAAATTGTTCTAAAATACGAGTTATGTTAGTAAAAACATATCTTTAAACAAATCTAAAACAAGTATGATGTCTTTTAGATGAAATTTTATACATGTAAATGACAATTTTTAAAAACATACTATCCCCTCAGGCCCTAATAATAACTGCATGTATCAGGTCCCTACTTTGTGACTGAGGGGGGAAAAAATGCAAAAGAAAAGAAAGATGGGAGAGGTTGCAAAGCATGACAATGGAAATGTATAATATTTATACTACATTCCAGATGAAGAATTATTATTCCCAAACTCTAGAAGATCTCTGTTCTAACACTAATCTTTGAGGGAAATAGAAGAACATGTAGTGAGGGGTCAGGGATTTCTCCTACACTTTTTGGTTAAGTTTTCTAGGGCAAATATTGCACATAAGAGGCCTGTAAGTTCTGTGAGGATGAGAGTTGTACTTAGCTTACTTATCACTTTATCTCTGGCATAGTGCCTGAGATATAGTTTGCGCTTAATTCATGTACGTTACATAATGTATGAAAAAAAATTAGCGATTTGGGGAGATAATCACTTGGAGAGCTGCCCAGTGCCTGTGCCAACAGAGACTCTTTCAGAATGAAGAGGGTGAGAGTTGTACAATGACAGGCCATTTCAGGAACAATAGTAACTTGAACCTTAAAGTCTTCCGAGGTGTTCTCAATTGAAGGGGTGGTGATATCAAATTCAATTCCTCCATGAACATGAAAATACTGATGCTTTGGATAGTGAAAATTCTGGCATTTAAAATCTGGTCCGTAAATAAATGGAGGCAGTTCTCGCTCTGTCTTGACCTTGTCATCTCCAAAAACGAAAACAAACTTTCATTTAAGAAGTGAAAAACAGCATATAAACAATCATATTTTGGAAATAGAGATTCTCACTTATGTAAACAAAGTGAAAAAATCCACATGAAATGAAAAACTTGGCAACTAAAGTCTATAAAATTATTTATGCTCTTGGTGTATATTTTAAATACATTTGGGGCATTTTCTGTAGTTTCATTGTACAGACATTCCAAAAGGATAGTCAAAATATTATTCTACCTATTGATTTCTATGTGTGAGTTCAAAACTAATATCTTACCCCCAATTATCAGAAAAGATTGGAAACCTTGTGCCTTAGAGACTCTTTGGTTAAATAAACAAAAAATTACCTGAACTAGTTTAGGTAAAAAGCAACATTAAAAAGAAATAAATGGGTATCTCTCACATGACAAAAATAACCAGCCCACTTCTCTGGAAAGTAATAAAACCACACATAAAACATTTATTTTAAAAAATAATTTTCTAAAATCTCAGTAAGGATTAGGCTTGTTCAATATTTTGACTTGTTAGCAGAATATGGTTTCATCAATACAAAGTATATAACATATTTCAAGAAATATAAAAGGTACATACAGAAAACTACAAAGAATAATATAACACCCTAATCTCACCACCTGGAATGGACTATTAACATTAACTATTAACACATTTGCTTTTAATCATCTAATTAAACATTACAGATACGGCTAACATCCTCTTTAAGTAAGGCCCTCTTAGCTCCATACACTCACCATCTCCTTATCCCTACCCTGGGACAAGCATTATCAAGAACCCATTTTTAAATAGTTTGCGGATACGGATAATCTTCATTTGAATGTTCATGATATACATTTTCATTAACTGATTTGCAAAATTTCTACTGAAACTTTGCCATCTGAATAGAAAACCCACATGCTTGGGAACCAATGAAAATACATAAATGGTGTTTTAATCGGAGTGGGAGGAACAGTTTGCACTGTCTACCTGCCAGATTCCATATAAGCAAGGTCCTATCTCAGCTCTCTATTCTCTTACATTGGTCATTATGTTAATTACAGAGCCATATATTACCATTTTAAAATATGTTTTCATTTGTTTTTCTGAAATGTAAGACCACTCATGATCCTTTAATGCTCCATATTAATATCAGAATGAATTTATAAACTTTAGTGAAAAACATTATAAGGACTTTGAGTAAACTGCACTGACTTTATAGAGTAATTTGGGTGAGATATGCTATATTCACAGTGTTGTTCCATCATAAACATGGAATATTTTCCAATTTCTCAAAACTTGTTTTAAGTCTTTCAATAACCCTTATAAATTGGTATGAACATATACCAAGTACTACGTACAAATACCAAGTATATTTAATTACTTTGGAGACATTTAATCTTTTTTCTTTCTAACAGGCTACAGCTAGGTTCCATGCCTGGACTCACATACTAACACAAAATTAAGTGTAAATATAAATTTAATGTATATTTATATTTTATATTTGACTTTCGGTGATACTCACCTGAAAAAGGCGGAAGCAGACTACTTAAATAGGGAACTTTCATCTTCTTTTTTAAACTCAGTAGAAATGGGATCAGAAAACATATTAGCTTTAGATATCCTATCCCTCTTTTGATTTCTTTTTTCTTCTCAAAGTGTTTTTGAATAACCTTTTTTTGAAGATATAATCTTTGCTGTAGTCTCTGGTAGGTACAAATATCGAGACAATCTTGAGTATACTTTATAGCATTAGTAAGCCAATAGGCTGTTTCAAATATAAAAACATTTTCATACTGTTGAACTTGTGTGGTACTGAATGTCAACTTCAGCATAATATTTTCAGCGTATTTCATAAATACAGCTTTTTCTTCAGGGCAATTGGAATTATATGTTGGGTCTTCATTCATGTCTTCATCATAGATTCCGTCAAAGTCTGGATCCTTTGTAATATCAGTCAAACCTTCAGAGTGAAAAAGGAAAATTTTAGACAGGGAAAACTTCACGCCTGGCTTCTAGATTAACACAGCAGCTTGAACACAGGGTTTCCTCTCTAAGTCCCACTAATACGACAGTAAAGGGATAATGAAATGCCAGTTCAAATGGTCCAAGGTGCAAAGCAGGCAGATGACTGGGAACTAAGCAGAGTAAAGACAGACAGAAGCTGGTAGAATTAAAAACAATAGATTTCCATCTTCTTTAAAGGAAAAGAAACACAGTCCCATGGAGACAATAATGTAAGTCCCATCTTTGAATCAGGGAAAATGTGGAAGAACCAGAAACCGTGGTCTCCCTCTCCTAAAGCAGGGAATCAGCTTCGTGCTCGGGCTAAAGGTGCAATTTGCTTTTCAAGCCCCACGTTAGATTTCTTGTTTTTGCCGAGAACAGAAGATAAGCATGTACAATCCATAAAGAACTTGCCTGCTAACGGTGATAAATCAAATAAAAATTAAAACTTGGTTCTACTCTATTATAAATGACAAATTTCCTATGTTACATTTTCTTCCCATTTATATGATGAAATTAAGAACTTCCTTGTCAGTTACAGTGTCTTTTTATAGCTGCATTTATGAAGGGAGTGAGAAGTACAAATTGGTAGTTACAAATAGTCACAGGGACGTGAAGGACGGCATAGGGAATATAGTCAATGACATTGTAATAACTACGTATGGTGCCAGGTGGGTACTGGAAATATTGGGGAGAACGCTTTGTGAATTATGTGATTGTCTAACCACTATGCTGTACACCTGAAACTAATACAAAATAATGTGGAATGTAAACTGTAATTAAAAAATAAAATAAAAAATAAAATAAGGGGGGGAGATTAACCAAAGAACTTATATGCAGATATGTACAACCCAAGGTCATGGACAATGGTGTGGAGAGGGACTGGGAGGGGTTGGGAAGGGGTGGAATAGATCATTGGAGAGAAAAGGGACATCTGTAATATTCTGAACAAAATTTTTTTTTTTTTTAATATATCTTTATTG